CGTTTCACCTCCCAAGCACAACTCCATACTGCGTGAGCTACCAAGCAAACCTACTAAACATGAAAACCCATACATATGAAGCTGGATATGTGACACTAACCTTCGAAGGTATCAGTTTTCAAATGTTGCAGCATGTTAAAATTGTTTTGAATTAATAACATAATATTCCTCAAATAATTGCTTGAAAATTAGGCTTTATTAATCAAAACTGTGGACCTGCAAATCATACTTTGTGTGAAAAGGAATAAAAGTTGTCGCAGTTTTACTGCTTCTAGTGTTCATTTCAACTGGAAACTGCAACGATTCGTACGTATAGGTACGTTTTTTTCAGTTTTGCAAAAACGTACTTAGAGGCATGCATTTCCTATGAGAACATGTAGCATATAGACATTTTCCCTTGACAAACAGAGTCAAATTTAAACGATTCAGGATGATAATTCACATTTATTTCACTATTTTAAAGTTTAGACTTGGGTAACGTAATGCTATCCTTTTTTAATGGAGTTGAATATAGCACAGCATGAAACCATTATCATGTCAGATTAAGTAATACATTAAATAAATGTGATGAGACTGAACATATTTAACCATTTAAAAAAAATCTATGTATAAATTCAATTTCCGATCTATCTAAAGATTTCAAAAACATTTGCATGTCTCTAAAGCTGTTCAAAGGTAAAATGCTTACAGTTTACATGCTGTCAATATGTTAATAATGTACATGTCAGGGTCTATGAGAACGGCACTTTACCTGCAAATATATGATTATTAATGAGACCACACTGTCAGATTTGCCTACACACAAGTCTGGAAGTTTGAGAATTCAACAATTTCAAAGTATCTGACTAATCCCCTTACTGTACATTAATAATTATCTCATTTGTATTTCCCCAAAGACATTGTAGCAAAGAAATCTCAGAGATAAAGCTGATACTATGAGCTATAAAAGAGCAACCTCTGAGCAATAAAATTATCCTCTGGGAAAGACAGAGAGAGAGAGCAGTGACACAAAAGAATGAGGTAATGAATGAGGAGAGAAAAAAATAAGAAGATGAATAGGTGAAGGGAATGTGACAGAGAGGGAGAAAGACATTAACCCCGGAAAGAAAAAGCGCAAGAGAGAAAGTGTGTATAGAGGTAGTAATCCCTTCACAGATGGCTTTGTTGCCTGTCTGATGATGGAGCAGTCCATATGATGAACTAATGGAGGGATGTTGTGCAGAGGATTATCCTCCCACTCTCGCACCCCTGGAAACTGAGGTCAAGTGGTACAATTCCATTTTCAGTCCATTTAATGCCACAATCACAATCTCTCTTTTAACAATGTAACATTTTCCATGAGGTCTTATCTCTTCAAAAAAACACTCTCTTGCACACAAATGGCAAGGAGATGTGGGAGGGCCTTGCACAGTGAAGCACATTTACAAACCCTAAAGCCATTCTTTTCACTAACAATGTTTAATCTCGCTCTGCTCTCGGTCCCTAGAAAGGCTCTATAGAAGATCTTTCAGCAAAGGAGAACCAATCAATCACAGATTCGCCAGAAAAAACCTACCGCGACTACAGTAAAACGGTCAAAAGTCTGAAGATCTGATGTAGGCTCTGTGCTCTGCTTGTCAGTTTTCCAAAGTATCTTTTCCTACCCTTAAAATGTTTTAATGTGAAACGCTTAACCCAGTTAAGAAAGCTTTTATCTGTCTCCAATTAGCAGCTGATTCATTAAATATTGAGGGAGCCATGAAGGATTAAATTTTTAATGTTCATTTGAGGCACAGAGTTGTACAACAACTTCCCCCGGAGCGATGCATAGAGACAGTCTGTGCTCACCATTGATTACGCTCATTGAGGGGCCGAAATCCACTCCTCTCCTCCCATGCACCCCTCCATCCCATAAGTGAGCGTGATTTCACCAAGTACAACATGTTCCTGGATCAACATCCTTGTTGATCCTGGAACATCATTCCAATCAACCAATCAGAATTGAGAGATAACTTTTCAGGAAATGTCAGTTTTAGGCTTACAATCAGGATTAGGTGCTTCTACACCCTTGTTAATCATCTATCATTTCCCTCTGATTTTAGGAATAAATTATGAGTAAAGTTAGGTTTAGGGGTAGGGATTGGGTTAAATCTGTATTTTTGGACAGTAATGTTGATCCAGGATCAACAAAAGATGTTGATCCAGGAACATGTCTTGGCAAAATCACAGCGACCCCATCCCATAACCTGTCTGGCCCGTTTCAACGTAATTTTTTTCTCTCGACACAGGCTCTATGGAGTTACTAATGGTTTTCTCCAGACATCAGCATACTACATGACTTAACAAGACCTTTGAGTGTTGTCAGGTTAAAGTCAACAACATGAAATCAAAACTGACCCTGTTTACATTTTAATGAATGTTTCTGGTCTTATCAATGCACTTTATTCCAAAAAAAAATAAAAAATCTTTGTAATCTTTAATAGAAGTGGTAAGTTGCTTTTCCTCTTTCTGCTGGCATTACTTAGGCCAGAGTTTTCAAACTTTTTGATCCCAAGAAGCCCAAAATATGATGCAGTCCCAACATATAAAAACAAATGTATATTTTTATATACAAACATGCAATTATACTGCAATTATATAAAAAAAAAATCTTTACAAAATTATAGAATTTTATATTACTGTACTTTACTCTAACAAAACCCAATGTAAATATATTATCTGTAAAATATTTGCTTTGCATTACAGTTTTTTTCAACTGCTTACACGCGTTTTCAAAACTTTACACACAAATCCAAGAATTGCACACACAAAATGCAAAATGCCTCACATCTCTTGCAAAATTAAGCACTGCATTCAAAATATCAAAATTTTAAATCTCAAAAGCAAACATTTGCTGTTAGATTTTTGTGTGTTACACAGACAATTGTGTTGTGTTTTGCAAAAAGTATTTTATGAAATTGAAAACTGAGTCAAAGGACGAGAATTAGTGTATGGTTTTGCAGATTTGGTGTGTGGTTCTGGTGTTTGAGTGTCAGGTTTCAGAAATTGTGACAATTTTGTGTAAGCAGTTGAAAAAAACTTCTTCTTAAAACTGCATCTTTTTTGCAGAATTATTTCTTAAACACTTTTAAAGATAAATATTGTACTTTTTTGTGTTATAAATATTTAATTCATATTTTATGTTAACATATTAACTTAACCCTAAAAAAAAAAATTACAAAATTTTCCAGACCCTCTAGCACCCCCTTGCAGCCCTCACAGGGTTCCTGTACCCCAGTCTGAAAACTCTTGACTTGTGGTCTATTAGGTTATATTAACCGATTGCCAGGCAACCTTCAAAGCCTTGTTTCATTAACTTGCATTCGGTCATGTTTTCCATTTTTGTCATGTCATGATCCAATCAATTCCTGATGGAATACATCATGTTCCAGACTACCATTTAACATTCAGTTTCATGCAATCAATATGTCAGATTATGAACACAAATGACACATCAACACATTGCCGTAGAATGCTATTCATGAAGCGTTTTTATATTAATTAATATTCTGGCATCTCTGTGTGCATGATGAAATGTTCAATTGTCTTGTGGGCATATGTGTCAAATGTGTGTGTGTGTGTGTGTGTGTGTGTGAGTGAGTCTGAGAGAGTGAAAAGAGAGCGAGATGACCTAAGAGGGATGTGGCTGTCATGGTGTGAGTAAACACGCTGACCTTTTCAGATATCAGAGGAACATTTATTTCATATGGATGAATGACTTTCTCTATCGCTTTTTATATATGACTTTATCTGCACAAACCCCTCAATTCCTTCTCTCTACTTCATAAGTTGAAACTCTGGCTCAGCATCCATTTAATCTTTATTTTCTTCTCTCTTTTAGCCAACCATGTTTATCTTTTCCGCCTCAGATCTATTTGCCTTATTATACGTTTATCTATTTTCTCAGAGGCAGGTTTTTTTTTTTTTTTTTTTTTAAACAAACCAACTGCCTAGTTGCCTAACCAGTATTTTTTCTTCCACTTATTCATTCATCTTCTCAGGGTTGAGAGACTTCCTGATTCGGTCTCTCACCCAAGGTCTACACCCTTCATAACACGGCTTCTCCTTTCCTCTTGTTCAGAGAGCATCCTCAGCACAGACAAAAATCAAAGGACCTTTGCTTGGGTTTGCAGATTGTGTCACTGTGGGTAAAGCATGAATGCCTTATCTAGGGAGGGCATGCACGCGACCCATAATCGGGAGGCAGCCAGCCGGAAAATGCCCCCCTGTCTCTCTCAGTTGAGTGTGTCTGTCCAAACCGTTAACTAGACTGTATCCCAGGCCAAAGTCACCCCTGTCCCAACTGGGGTTGAGTTTATATGTACATAGTTCCCACACTTTCCGACCTATTTCCTTGATTTTTTAATTACTTTGCAAAGCTGGATAACGGCTTGATAATGAATTTTAAAAAACGTTTTATAGAAAATATACTTGCAAAAACATCTAGACAAAGAAAAACTTCAGAACATGGAGCACAACTACACTTACAAAAAAGTAAAAGAAATTAAAAAAAAAAATACTGGAGTATGTTTTACAATAAAATATGATTTCAGTCTTTTTACTTAAAAATGTCAAGTTTAATTCAATGTATTAACTGGAGTTAAACTGTTTCTACACCAATTTTTTTTCACTTTACAAAAATTGATATTGACTATAGAAGTCACACTTTTGAATTCTATTTTTAGGTTTTCCAGGATCCTTTATGTGGTTTACAAGTAACTTGACTAAAAGAATCAAAATCAAAATGTAATTAGAATGATCTTTCTATTGTACAACATTCTGTTCCAACTAGTTTAATGCTAGGATTACATGCATGAACGCAACTTGACAAATATTACAATTTATTCTAAGTTGTATTATTTACACTACCATAGAGATCTGTAATTGGAGGCATTTGACACTTAAAGCCAGTCTTTAGAAGACTGAACTTGTTGAAAAACTTGTATCTGGGTGAATGAGTTTTATATCAACCACCAACATACCTTCTGTTCAAAGAGTTCCAGTAGACTGGCTCCATGTTGGTCGCATCCACTGCTAAACTCTCCATCAGGAAGATTAAGAGAATTCCCAATCCACTGACCCAGTCTGAGACCGCCATGGCCATCCAGGTTCCCCTTGTCTGGACTTCCATGATCCCCCTACAAGACAAATGAATGGGACCTAATAGAGACAAAAGACTGGTGGAGGGTTGAACTTCACTAGATCCCTCTGCGCTTGAGGAGATGGTGTAACCGCAACATCCACATCTGAAAGACTCTGAGAACAAATCTCTGAATGTTTGTAAAAGAAAGCAGATTCAGAAACATCAACCTCCTTTGTTCCATTCAAAGGAGTCAATGACCTCAACTGAAAGTCCCAAGTAATTGTCAAATTTGAGAAGGCAAAGCCATATGGTCAATGTATGAATCTGATTTGGGATGAATTTCAAACAATATTATGATTGTACATGGGGTGAAGTTAAACGTTTTGAAGCGCACGCAGACTGATGCGAGGCGCCAGGTCCACTGCGGGTGATTTTTTAGAAATGTTTCTCCATCAGCCGCAGCATTAGCATTTCTGTCAAGGACTTGGGAGTTGTATTTTTGCTCCCGTTGATAAAATTAACATCCACCCGGTAGAAATAATTCAATTTTTCGGTGGACAAAAGTGTTTAAGTTGTGTCGTACTTTCACGCTGGTGAAGAACACGCCTCTGGTGTCCAAAATGAGAGGTCCAGAACTTTTCGCTCATCTAATATCCAAAATATTCACGCAAATATGATGTCCCAGTCCTGAAACAACAGTGAGGATGTCCCCCAGCACTTACTTACCCAATGAATTACGTTACAGTCCGACAAGAAACAAAACCCGTTTAGGGCATTGAAAGGAGGTAAGTAGCAGTAATCGGTAAACGTCTACTGCAACAAAAGCAGAAATGTTGGGGACAAGAAACGAGATATTCCTGTAGTCCATGGATACAACGCGTGCCGCGCGCTCTCTCCGTTTCTCTGCTGCTCTGCAAAGTCTGGCGCTTTGACTCGCGCGCCGGCAGCATTGTTGCCAGATCCCAGGAGAAACAAGCAACCTAGTCTGATAAAACAAGCCTGGCCGAAATTGGCGAGCTCTGTTTTTCATTTCTAAAGGTTTAGTGGTTATTTATTAATTATGGGAAATGCACTGTATAACTCCGTAATTTCACTTATTAAGACAGAATATATAGATTAAATACAGTCTGGATAAAAATAGCTAAATTACAAACTTCCACAAGTAGTATTTTATTAAATAATAGACAGTGCATTTAAGTAAAATAGTACATTTATATTTTAAATAATAAAAAGCTATTTTTAGTTGCTTATAAGAAGCGGACATGGCAACAACTGTGGTGAGCGCGCGTGTTGGTGACTGTTGGGGAGGAGAGTTTGTGGATGCCGTCTTGAGAAAAGCTACTCTCTTAAGTATTTTTCAATACTGTTGAGTTTAAATGTAACTGTAGCTTCACGGCCAACAAATCAAAAGAACTACTATGAAGTAACCTGCGAGGACGGTAGGGCTCGAATCGACTTCAGTTCAGTATTTCCAAGAAACATGCTTCCAACCGCCTCGACTTTATTCAGGTAGCTCGAGGCACATCAGAACAAGGGTTGTGTACTTAAACCTTACGCCCTATGTCTAATCTAAAATCTGTCAAAAACAGTACAAAAGAGTGATGCTGGGTTCCTTGGGGAATCAAATGTTGGAGGTTTATGCTGTGTGGACTTAACATGAATTTAGAATGGTTCCTAACGCTGTGACTGAAAATGACTGAAAGCACGATGGTTTGTTATCTTTAGTAACGTTAGTTTCATTTGGCATCAAGAAATCTAGCTCTGATTATCCTCGAATATTTTATAATGTAATTTATACTCCGAGGTTCTGAAGCAGAAGCGTGATTGTACTGCCTCATAGAGGAAAACAGTCGCAAAGCAGGAGTCAAATCTGACTACATTTAAGACAAAACAACGAAGGTCTAAGCCAACAATAATTGTAACAATGACAGAAAACAAATTCAGCGTTTACATTTTTTATTTTCAGTTTAACATATTTTGATCTTTTCAAAGCAAAACCAAGCCCCATGTTCTGTACGTACCCACCTAATCATTTAAAACTAAAACATTTTCAGCATATACCAATGCTCATCAACCTTTATCTGTACATGTCAATAATTGCAGTTATTCACTTGAACATTAACATACCAACAATACATAGACAACACTGTGGGAAACATCCCACAGCCTGGTATGATGAGTGAAGTCAACATAGGGGGAAACATCCTCAGCCAGGCTCAGATTACTTTAGATGACTGAGTGGTGCAGATATAGCCTGTGCTGTTTTTCTAATGAGTGTTACATTGATGTTGACCAGGGCAGTTCTATTTTGTACAATTAAGGCATGTGAAACACCCAAGATGATTCCGTAAGATGAACAGAACTCAACAAACAGGGACCAAAATCATTTACACTATTTACAGGACATCCAGTCCCCACCTCACCCACAAGTGAGACAGGAGAATGTACGAGTGTCTTTGTACAGACACATACAAAGTCTCTTCACATGCATGCACACACCTAGTCTGTCTGTGGGTCCCATTCTATGCTGTCAGGATGAAAGCGAGTGGAAGAGAGAAACAGTAGAGAAAGAGTTGTGGTCTCTTGCTAAATCCAGTTCGACGACATCAGATGATGCGTACTGGTGGGTGTGATGGTACCAGCAGAGAGATCTAGGTTACGTCCATCCTGGAAGAACTGAAAAACAAAAACCAGATTAAACCACAACGTAAGTAAATATACAATTTTCAATCTCGGTCTGTCGCATCTCACCTGCGTCACTGCAGTTCAGCTGTTTCATAAGCATCCATGAACTTCATAATGTCAACAATTGCTGTAATGCTCTAAATTTTTCATTGTATTGACAGGCAATCATGACAAGTCTGTGTCTTTGAAATTTAGTTCAAGTGAAGTGCGTGAAGAAACGAGGAGAGTTTGCTTCAGTTCATCTCCTCTCCAAACATTCATCACATCTAGACTCCTCAACCCCGCAGCAGGTAAGGACGTTTTTGAAGAAATATAATTGATAGACGTGAGATCTGCAGTTTCTCCGCAAAGTAATCTTCTAAAAAGGCATAAAGGTTTTTTTTTTAATCAAACATTCAAAATGACCAAAATGACTTTTTTTTCAAATGCTGTAGAAATATTCTTCATTTGATAGTGTTGCAGAGAGCAGTGGGGATTGCAGCTCAAAAGGATGCAAAAAACTACATCCCTTTGGTGTGAGGATGAAATGGATCCGCACGTATTCCCTGTCTCACGCTCTGTGTGTAGCACTAAATGCAGCTGGTTGCCACTCCTTTTCGGACTTCAGAATGGCATTTGATTTAGTGCCGATATCCACCTTTTCGTGCTTGTTTTCAGTCATTGTCTTTTATCTTTTTTTACAAAAATATAATCCAGTCAGAATAGTGAAATACGCTTAAAGCAGGATTTTTTTTTCTTTTCTACAGCTCAAGTACCGAAATCTCCTCTGTTCCGATCCTCAGTCTCTTCCGATTCTGAAGATCCAGGTGAATAAACATTTATGATGCAAAACATCACATATTTCAATCCCAAAACTCGTGTATTGGATTCGACCCCCCCCCCAAAAAAAACAAAACAAAAAAAAACAATTTCCTGCTACACACTGCAGATCCTTGGCTCTCAATGGCCCTGCATCAAGAGCACAAGTAATAAGACGGCAGAACAACAGTTCCATCAAGATGTTGAGACGAACGGAATCTCCGGGTGTTGTGAGAAAGTTCCGGAAGAGCACTAGCAGCCGGAGACCGTCAGCTTGGTACAGGCCATGCGCATCCCAGAATCTGACCTCTGACAATAGGCATATTCTGAATGGTGAGGCATGTCCTGTTTCACTCCGAGACACTCAAGCCTTATTGTTAGATGCACTGTTATACATAGTTTGTTTTGGAATACATTCATTCATAATACATCCTCAAGAGGCAAAAAAAACATTATTCAAAAAATACAAGGTAGCAGCCTAGAAAGTGCTCCAACTCAAAGTTCAAATACTTTGTATAGAATAAAAAAAAAATCATTCATCCTTTTTCAACAGCAACAAAAAAGAAAGTAACAACTGACATACAGAATCTCAGTGCCCTTGTGACTATCTCAAAACACCAGCCAAGAGAATACACACACACACACACACACTTACTTTCTGGACAGAAGGCAACATTTCACATCGTGGACTGAGAATGAGTGAAAGGGGAAGAGTTGTAATGTAAGTAGTTTGTGTACAGACAACAGAGGAGCTACATTTACACACCAAACACAAAGCCTGATTGCCCTCTTAGAACAGAGCCAAACGGGCCAAACAGCACCTCAATTCATGCTTTTAAACACTGGAGGGTAAAAACAATGCTTGACTCTCTTATCGGCCTCTTTAAGAGCCTATGTACAAAAAAGCGCCAACACAAACTACTTCTGTCCATTCACGCACACGCTCAATGAAGTAGAAAATTGTGTTGAACAAAATAAAAGCATGGCATTTGTTTTATACACGTCGGTAAGCAATAAAATTTGTGCAGACTTCATCTCTTACGCTTGCACACGCACTCACAAAAAACCTCAACCTATCCTAACTTTTTTTTTTTTTTTTTTTTTTTTTGTTAAACAAGTGCAAATCTTCAAGTTTTCAAATTCATATTTTGATAGCTTTACCATGAACATAAAAATACAACAGTGTTTGTCTTTTAGGAGAGATGCTCAACTTATATCTCCCCAACAACATTTCCAAACCTCCACGTTTGATACGGCGGAAACTGCTCCGTTCCTACCTCTCATATGTATATTCATACAAATATTCTACACATAATATATGCAACAATATATTCACACATTTTTGCATTGTAAAAAAAAAGAAAGAAAGACAACTCCATTTCAAATATGAAAACATTAAAGTGCAATGGTTTAGGTAAGGTGCTTCACTGAAGGGAGGCAGAAGAGGATCTCCTCTTCACACCGAACCTCCCAATAACCTCCTTCTGCTCCTCTCACAGTGCAGAGTGAGAGAAAGAGGGAGAAAGAGAGAGGGGGTGTGGACAAATATTGCCCGCCCCTTCCCTCACTGAGCAGTGCACATTCCTCTGCTGATTTGCTCCAGGTTTAAGGCCTCAGGTAAACTCAAGTAGACGGGCTGGGTCAGTAATCCTCCACCTGCTCCAGCTCACCTCCCCCCAGGAATGAGTAGCCTGCGGAGGTGGGAAACAGGAGAACAGAGGTTGAGAGGTCTGAGGGTTGACTTTCTACAAGAAATTTCCCATCTGGGAATATACTAATGACTAATTCATAAACTTTTCCCCCTTGAAGCAGGGCAGGAAATGCTTTTCAATAAGTACATCAGTAAAGACGTTCTCTTTGCTAGATGAAGATCTCACTATGACCCAGACAGCAAGAATTTGACAAGGAGCCAGAATACAGATTAAAACAGTAGTTCAAGGGTTATTCTGGGTAATGTATGCATGCTGATGGGTAAAGCTGAATGGAACCCAGTAGGGGTTTGTGAGTGTTTATGTGAGCGTATACGCTAACCGAGGATACTGGGGTCAGACTGGAGCATCATGCTAGGCTTTTTATTCGTTTTTCCTCCCTGAGTGTCGTACACACTGCCGCCCTTACTCATGTGAGCTGCCTGGAACATTGACTGTACGAAGAAAAAGCAGGAAGAATTTAAACAATGGACTAATAGAAAATTAAAACTAAAAATTGAAATATTATAGGTCTTCTTTAAAAATCCAGTAAAACAGTATGTAATCTACCTGCAGGGGGAAGTTCATGTTTAATCCAGAGACTTCCTTGGACAGCTGTGGAAAGTTTCAGTACATTAAGACTCACCCAGTGTGGAGAATTGAACAAACGTTAAACAAGAAAAATCATCCTTCACAAACCTGCTGCTGTTGTCTCTGGTGGTTCGCTTTCTGTTTGGCACGGCGCTCCAGGAACTGCTTGGCAAACTCTTTGGCTTCAATGGTATCGCCCAGATAAATACGGATAAAATCATGAACTTCATATGGAGACTCCACCTCCTTCAGATATGCCACAATGGTGGGCACTACCAAGAGAAATGCAAGCATGATAAATTTAATCTCCATTCCTTTTGGAGAAGACCGTAGAAAAAGAGGCGAATGGCAGATGTGACATAGTTACCGTCCACTGAGGAGGAGTTATTTGCAGAGGTGTTGAGAGCGTGGAGCATCTGTTCACACCAAGTGGTGAAACCGTCCTGAGGTTTCATCCCCTGAAGAAGCTTCAGAAGCCTCTCCTCATCGTCAGTACGCTTACGCCGATTCAGCATGTACTGATCACTGAGAACACAGACACGCTTGGGGTGAACATTGTGTGTAAAAACACTGGTTTAAATGGAAAGGTAAATTGTGAGTGCAAATTTGTGTACCTGAGAGAGGGACTGCTGCGGCTGTTCTTGAGGCCAATGTTGCGATGGCTGGCCTGGTTTTTCATGGCCTCATCCCACATACCCATAGCAGGGTTGCCACCTCCGACCTTCCCTTCCATGCCAGCTCCTGACCACATTCCAGATGGCCCATCACTCCACTGGCCCATTGTCAAACCTCCATGCTGAACGAAACAGTTATAATGAACTAAAACAACAGCAACTCTTACGAGGAAGACCTCTTTAAACCCAAGACTACAAACTGTTTGCCAGCCATTCGGATGTATATTAAACAATTCACTGCTCAAGATGTTTTTTACCCTTTGCTGCTGCTGAGCTCTCTGCTGCTGCTGTTTATGAAGTCTCTCTGCCTCCAGCTCCAGGAGTCCCATGCTCTTTCCGGTAGCTTTGCCCAGAGACAGAGCTCCTGCCTGGCTTCCGCTCCACCCTGCGCCCCCTGGCACGCTCTGCTGCTGCTGGCTCTGCTGCAGAAACTTCATGATCAGTTCCTGCTGCTGACGGCACTGCTGTAAAACACAAACATACAAACGTGTTACACATCATAAACATTCAAGATTGCAACAGTTGTAGCCCAGTGTGTCCATGTGCTCACTTGTTTTCGTCTGTAAAGCTCCTCCTCCTCTCTCCTCTTCTGTTCCTCCTGCTGCCGGCGCTTTTCCTCCCTCCGTTTCCTCTCCTCTTCATCACGCTTCCTGAGTTCAGCTTCACGCCTCTCCTGCTGGATCTAACACACAGGCAGCACAGGCTCAATTACCAAAGAGCAATATGGGTGAAGTTTACACATTCAACATGAAACGTCATCACCGAGAGGAGTGATTAATTGGTGACATCGCAGTCCTGCTGAAGTCCAAAGTTTACTTTGGTTTTTAACGTATACATTAGGGTATAGGTACAGTGTGCATTTCGTCAAATTTTTCATAAGCATAGTACACATGTACAGTAAACGTGCAAATTGGTTTTTCTGACTGCACTTTGTCCACATGGTGGCAACACTGCCACGGCCCGCTGTTTCAAAAAACAGATAAGGAAAAAAAACTTCTTAAATTTCTGGAGACAGCAATAGATGCCTATGTTGATGAACGCTTGTGTGAGTCGGTTAAGAGACATGAGCAACTCTGTTTAAACAGGTACAAAGATATTTTTATCTGTAACTTTTGGAGAGTAATAGTGCAGACACTGGACAAGATCCAGGCTATGCACAGTTGTACACATTTGCTAAATTTTCACATCAAAAATGAAGTAATGCTTTGGGCTTTAGTCACCATGAGCCCTTGATCAAGACAAGATCAATGTAATCTAGCAGGACAGACAGCTTTACTATAGCATATGCTGAAGGCACTTTCAAGATCACATAGGTTACGTACTTTCTGCAAATGTTCAAGAGTTGGACCCTGAGTGGAGCTACTCATGGTTAAGTCCCACAGACTGGTATCACCGCCTACAAAACAGAAAAACCAGTGGTGTAACAAAAGCACTTCACAAAATAAAGTGGCTATTACAAAGCATCAATGCAGCTGGTAGTACCTGACTGCTGAGAGACTGAGGTAGGCATGTCCCACATGGGCCCGGTGTCTGGCACTGACATGGACCTGTTCATCGCAGGCATCATCCCAGTCTCCCCACACCTGAGACCCAAACACATCGCTCATAAACCCAAAACAAGTATATACCTGGTCAACTGATGCATTAATTGCTAGTCGGTGATACCTGTTCATGTGCTGAAATCTCATCTGAAGTTGTTTGTACAGGGCTGCAGTGGCAGCTTGTTCTAATTGTTTCTTCAATACCTCCTGGTCCATGTTCCCCTAAAGTAACAGAAAAACAGACCAAAAAGTTGTATCTCCATCCAACTACAATACTTTATTTGGTAGAAGTTTTAGGATTGGAGAGAAAAGACCCGTCAGGAAATGTAGAATGGGAGGATATGAGATATGAGATGAATTTGGGTCATCTGTAACATGACCTCAATATGTAAGAGCACTGCCTTAAAAGGTTAAAGCTCTGACACCTACTTGAATATTTTACAAAAGCAACAAGCAACTCATGGCTATTCTTGATTTTACCATGGTTAAGGATTTAGGAACATGGTGAAATTGTTGTTACACAAAGCCCTGAGTAAATTATTACTAATGCATGGCACAAAGCATCATCAAACCCATTTCTGGATATTTCACAGTGTTCCTCACCAGCAGTGGAGGAGGGGATGGGCCGGGAGAGAAAGGCACACGCCCCCACATCTTGATGACTTCACCCAGGGGCTGAAATCCCTCATCACAACCACGTTTGACCAGCAGGTTCATGGAGAAATACCCCGCCTGAAACCACTCACACATCTCCACTGTAGTGAAAGGACCTGAAAGAGAGACAACCAATACAGCCCACAATTTAATGCTGTGATGAAGACATAAAAACCCTCCAAGAATGACGTGGTAGTCAGAATCACCTTGAATCTCCCCTTGAGGGTCTTTGTAGAACCACTTCATTGCGGATTCATGGGACAGGGGCAGAGCACTGGCGGAGTTCGGGAGAGTGTGTGCGGTGGAGTGAGAGTGCGCACGCGTATTCGGGTGTGTGTGCGTGTGTGCCGCAGTGATGTGGCTCTCCTGAAGAGCTTGAGTGAAACACTCCTCTTCAAGAGATGTGTCTTGCAGGGACGCCACCATCTTCTCAGCCTCCTTTAAAAGACAGATCTTTTTTATTTTGACCTTCTATCGTAAGAGCAACAAAAACAAACAAAAAAGCAAGCACGCTAACCTGCTGAAGGTGCTTCATGCCATCTTCCTCCTCGGTGTCTCCCCCTACTGTTGGAAGGTGAGTACCAGTGGTTGAGGGAGGAGAGGAGCTCTGCATCTGCGTTGTGGTGCCACCTGCTGGAGCTGCATCTATAAGAACAAACTCAGTCTTGTTCCAGAGCTTTTTGCATTGCATGTTCTTGGAACAAAAAGGGAAAATGCACAAAAAGAGATAGAAAACCTTTAGATGGTTGGGGTGCAGGTTTTGAAGGAGGAGTGACTATGGGTTTGGGAGTCTTTTCCTCTGCAACAGGGTGCACAGGGGCAGGAGGAGACACAGCATGAGGAGATGATGACTTTCTGTCTCCATCACACACAGCTATTGCTTCACACGTGTCCGCTGAAAAAAAAATAAAAAAAAGCGGCGAGATGAGTTTTGAAAACAGCAAAAAAAAAAAAAAGTGAGGAAATACATCAGCTTGAGAAATGGAGGACACTAAACGTTTAATGTTCATTTAAAGTAATCTTGGTCAAAGCAGGTCACATGATGCAGAACAAAGGGCAACAGTCACTTTCTGCTGAACATGCCGGATACAGCATCAAATAAGACTTTTCTTACATTTTTCAGCAGGGCTGTCCTTCTCTTGACCACCCTCCTCTTCCTCCTCCAGAGCTTCAAATTCCAGTTCCTGGTCTTCAGGGATTGCATCTCTGGAGCTTTTCTAAAGGGTAACACAAACCTGATTTATTCCATCTCTTTTTTCTCAGGAATTTACTTAACAGTCATGAGCAAGAATGCATCTGAAATTTATTTAAAGAAAAGCGTAAGACAAGCAAACCTTAATGCACATGAAGGCTCCAGAAGAATCAAAGGTTCCCATCTCCCCTTCTTCTTCATCGGTGCACCATTCAGGCAGGCCATCTCGCTCTTCCTCTCCTCCCTCACTTCCAGCCCTTCTACGTCCACCTTCTCCATCTCGGAAGTCAAAGTCAAACTTCCTACGACGACCATCCCCACTACAGTGCTCCCGCCAACCTGCTGAACGAGGACCCCCATCTAGATGAGAGAAAAGACAAGTTTAAAAAAATTCAAAAAAGAAATTATAATATATGTGTATATAAATAATAAAAAAGTGAATGTACCATCACGACGGCCTCCAGCAATTCTCCAGCTTCCCCCAGGTTCTGCCCCATCATCGTCCTCCTGCTCCTCTCTGAGCGTACGCCAGTTATCGCTGTCTGAGCGCACGTAGTCCTTCCTTCCTCCTGCTCCTCCCTCCTCAAAACCACCACGCCCACCATCACGCCTCAAGGGCTTTTCAAAGCGCCGCTCACTTCTGAAATAGCAAATACTAATGATCAGCACAACAGAATGTCTGACATTTATTCTGAGATTGACTGTTCATTCTGCACCAATGTCTTGATGGATTTAAGTTATACAAATGCATGTTATAAACATTGATATTCAGACAAATATGTACATTGTATATAAAACTTTACGATGTATAAATTCACCTGTCATCCCAACTTTGACTGCGGTGCATCTCTCGTCCTCGGCCAAAACTGACCTCTTCATCCACACTTCTTTGGTAGAATCCGCCCTCTCCTCTGCCTCTCCCTGCACACAAACAAAAAATTATTAAAACACATAAAAAAAAAAAAATAATAATAATAGTAAATAAATATATTATACCATTAACACTATCAAATGAATATGTATTGTATAACATAATACATTTCTTGGGAATAGACTAAATGTGACCTAGACATTTTTTGAGAAATCATGATTTGTAATTATTTACAAAAATAAGATGAAGAAACGCATGTAACTGGAAGGATGATCTTCATTGTAGTCAATGACACACACACACACACAAATTCATTTTACACTCATATCCATACAGAAATTTATTAAAGCAAGCTTGTAATTTCTGCACTAGCATCAACAAACGGAATTGGAAAAACAAACCCCATTTTCAAACATGTTTTTCCAAACACTCGCCACATCTGCCAAACAGAGTGCTGCAAGGTTGACATACTTTTGTATGCCAAAACCCGGAACTAGTTAGAATTTTAGCACTTCCGGTTCCATCACTCTAATGTCTATGAGGTTTTTGGTTAAATGCCTGCAATAAGGTCTGTGGTCAACACAAGCTCTAGACACTTTCATAATTTACTCTATGACTTAAAATACATCAGTAATAACCACGCTGTTTTTTTTAAGCTTTTACTTGTCTTGAAAAAGGCCGTTGCTAACAAGTGGCTAAACGTCGCTACAAAGGCAGTCTTCATGCCGAACAGGAAAACCCATCTACTTATTAGTTCTCTTTTACATCTTTGCTTTGTTTATAATCACTGCTTCTGGTGATTGTATTTAGGCTTCAAACTTCATAATCATTCTGTTAATTTGTGAACATTAACATGATGAACAAAACATGTAAGAATCATCAACTTTTGTTGGTCACAGAGTAGGGATGTTCATTTTAACTGGTTAACCGTTAACTGACTAAGAATTGTGACTGATAAATACAATCAGTTAAATGGTTTAAAAAGTCATTTATTTATTGATTTTTTTTCAGCAATTTATCAAAATATTTAAAAAGGTTTGCTGCATGGTTAAAATATGCTACACATATACGATTTTTAGTTTTATAGAAAAAAAAACAAGTCACACATAATTCGCATTTTATTATTTCATTCAGAAATAGGCCTAATGCCGACGTGAAATGTTTACAAACATTATAATAAACACTGTAAACATAGCTAGGCTACACAACAAACAGTATTTACAAAAGAACAAGAATTAAAAATATAAGCTATGGCAATATAAACGACAAGCCAAAACAAATTAATTTAGGCTAAAATGAAACTGAAACCAATGAGGAGTCTGTCATTCAACACAAAATCAAATGTTTCCGTATTCGCAATGTATTTGAATGCCAAATTATTATTTATTATGTAGCCTACTTCACTCGCGTTCCAATATCCATGTAAAACAAAATATTTTGCTTAATATCACGGAGGTACGATGAGAACATTTAACGGCACAGATTTTACTACATATTTAAACTGAGCAGTGTGTTTTTTTCCATATGTTTGACTGACTGTATTTTATTATGATAATGAACAGGCTGCATTGTCAAGGTAGCAAAGCTTAACTGTGTGCGTGCATGCGGCGCAATCACTTGAATTTTTTCCATCTAACAGTGGAAGAAACTGTTCTTTTTAGTCATAAATAAAAGCAAACCTTTTACTATTCCAATGATTATCTTAAACAAAGTGTAGCAAGACGTTCCTGTCTGTTCCGGTTTCTCTTATTGTTAGTCAAATTAACCAAATTACTGAGAAAGTCACCTTTTGTTTGTAATGGCTCTTGGTGCCTCCGCCCCAGTCTTTGAGTAGTTATGCTGATTGGATTAGCACCTATGCATTTGAATGACACTGTTATGCTGATGAGATCAGGGCTGGAGAAATTCCGGTAACGGGCTGATTCCTGTATTGCATTTGCATGCTTTGTTTAGATTGTCGCCACCTCTACTGAATGAATCCCGCCCCCTTAAAATGTATATAAACTCTACTGTGCTGAGCTATAGTCAGACTTGGATGACTGCAGCGACACACAGCGAGTCCTCAATAAAGAGTGACTTCTGTATGAAAGATATCCCAACGTCTCCTGGTTTCTGCTTCGACGAGGAAAAAGTTTCCTACACTAGGCTACTTGTTGCACAGATTTTCTTTCATTTTCTTAATTTATTAGTTAAGTAAAAATATATTTCTTGTATAAGCCTATTAATTAGTTATATATATATATATAGCTAGCCTAGCTTTATTATGTTTTTCTCCGCTCTTAGAAGCTCTGCAGTTGCGTGATGTGATATGACCATGTGAATCCTCATGTTCTGTTGTTTGTTGCTTTTTGCGCATGTAAAATTAATCCCCAGGAAACACGTTTAACGGGTCACAGACACTTATCCTTTCTAATTTAATTCAATTCTAATTTAAAATAATCTTGTCGGTTAACGGTTAATAATCGGTTAACGAGCGTCGGTTAGGAAAAATAACCGAAATGACTATCCCTATCACAGAGCTTATTTTCTGCAATAATCCCAAAGCTGGTGGAAAAATCCTATTGGGTTTTTGTCAGCCAGTATGAACCCCCAGGTTGGCCTACAAAAATATGTCATCAGCACTAATTCACACCATTGGTCACAACCCACCTCGACCACCTCGAGTGCTTCCACGCCCTCTAGCTACAACTGTTGGTACAGCTCCACCTCCTTTACCCATAAGCCTTAGCACAGCCACACTGTTCACAGACATGGAGAAGTTTCTCTGAAAGGTGAGAGAAATAAAAATCAGTGATATACATACGACAATCAATGCCCGATGTGTGCGCTCACACACACACACACACAAGTAAGCCCACTCCCACTAGTATTTGTAAATATTAAGCCGCAAAACTATTCATATTTAAAAAGGAAATTCTGTGTGTCTCTGTGTTAATGAATGGCGCAGATTATTGTTGAGTACAATGTATGTAACAGACTGCTACTAAAGTTATTAAAACCTTATTTTTAAGGAATAAGCATTCAATATTTCTTCAATGTTTAAATTGTAATATTAAATTACCTTAATTTTCCAAAAAAAATTAATCTGTTTAATTTTCATTACTTAAAAGATAGATTAAATGAATGTTTTATGCCTTAAAACAAAATGTAAATACACAACAGAATTTCTGAGCAAAAAAATCATAAGGCTATTGTAAGAATAAATTAAACTTGTTTTATGCTTTCAAATTAGACATGCTAAAACAGAATTTGGTTACAATAAAACATTTCATAGGGCCCTAAATGTAATATTTGTTAAACTTTTAATAAATTGATGTTAAATTGTTTAAGTTTCATGATTTTAATTAATTAGACATGCTTTTTGATTAATAAAATGTAATTTAACCATTAAAAAGGAGTCCAGAAAAAAAAAAACGGAATCTACCCCCCGTAAACCATGGGGAAACACTGATATTACTTATAATATCCAAAAATTTGCCCCGTGACTACAATATGCATCACTCACCTGCTCCTCCTCAGTCAGGGGCACCAAGGCCAACGGCTGCTGAGGCTCTTCCTGCAGGATAGCAGCGAGCTCCTTATCCTGCATGTCCTCGGGGATCTGAATACGCAAACAAAATCTCAATTAGGTATGTAATCGACAAACAATTATTGACTCTTATATTAACACTTGAACTACTATAATGAAAAGGCCCTTGACTTACACATGTGGCCTGTTCAGTAGGTCTGTGTATTGGCAAGAATCTGGCGATACGATACATAACACAATACGGGGTTGCGATACGATATGTTGCGATACTGTAAGTAAGGCGATCTATTGGGATATTTCTTATTTTAGGAATAGGATATATTTTTAGGAAAGCTGTCATTAAAAACACACCACCATATGCAAACCTTAGTAAAAAAACAGGCCTAAATAAATACAAATTATTTAACCAGAACACAGTGGGATCTGCATTTGCAATAATCAGTCCCTGTAACATTCATGTTATTAAACCAATTTAAAGGGGGGGGGGGATTAAAGTGCTTTCAGGATTCTTTAGGTAAATGTATAATATGTATTTTATAAAAAAAGACCATATATATTTTTAGACCCTGCTTTTAAGGTTCACAGTTTAAGTTTACAATTGTAACATACAATGTCATAACATTTTGATCTGAACAAAAAAATTACATCTGCTTAATATCAATGAAAAATAAAGTGGTTGCAGGATTCCTAAAGAAAACAAAACAATTGTAAAACAAAATAAATACAGATGTTAAACATTCTCAGAACCTTTCAAATTGTATTTCACAGGTTTTTCAGTTTGTATTTATAAATACATGGAATCGCCGAGACAGCAACGCGAGCACCGCCCCAACTGCACAAAACGCCCCCAACACGAGAGAAAGCTGCCGCCGACCCTACCGCCCGCCGCACCCCACGCGAAGGCTCTTCACACGGCACGTGGCAAGCGGGCGAAACTGAGGGAGCGCCCGTGCCATGGTCCCAGGGCGGACGTTACCACAAAAGCCCAAATGACGCCACACTTCAGCTTTGTACACTGACAGCAAACTATATTAATGCTAACATTAATGGCGTGCCCTAATGCTAGTATTTCCTGTCACTGTTTAAGTTCAGAGATGAAGACTTCTATCTAGCGGTCGGGATATGAACTCAAAACTAAACAACTGCCATGAATCTTGTACGATTTTTATTTATTTATTTTTAAATATCAATATTCCATTTTTGAGAACTGATACAGTATCGCTAGGGCTGTGCAAATAATCGAATGCGATTTTCATGTGCATCTCGACAGATGGAGCAGCATTTACTACACAGAGCCGTAGTTCACTGACAAGCTACGCAATATCACGTTCAAAATCGCAGGCGATTCATTGTCGATTATGAACGACTGTGTAGTAAATGCCGCTCCATCTGAAAGCACGTGCTGGAGATTTACTACTAATCACAGAACCGGCTTTACTGTCGAGATGCACATGAAAATCGCATTTGATTATCTGCACAGCCTTAAGTATCGCCAAACAAAATATTGCGATCCTCACGTGTATCGATATTTTCTTACACCCCTACTGTTCGGTTTAATTTATTTGACTTTTACTGCAGGAGCCATGAGTCACCTCACCTTGTTATCTTTGACATAAAGTGCTAACATCTCCTCGCGGCCATAGCGGTAGTCGGCCAACTTGGACTTTGGCATTGCAGGGGAAGGGGGAGGGGATGTCACACTCCCCCCTCTGGATAGTGCACGGAGCCTGAAGAAAACAGACATCGTCGTAATTATTTCCATCACCCATTTAAAAACAATGAATCATTCTGGATTCAAGATTGTGTACATGCAGAAAACCATAGGAGAGATTAATCTTTAAAAAAATCTAAATCAAAATCAAAATATACAAAGGGGAAACATCTGTTTCCTCCTGTTGACACTTATAGGGAAGTAGGACAGAAAGAAAAAAAAATCAGCCACAATGAATGTGGCAGTTCATAAATTTACTGCACACTAAATATTTCTCACAAAGGATACCAATAAGGGGGAAAAGTCAGATTATCCAAAACACATTTTAAATGTTTATAAGTGCAAAACACCTGTTTTGTTTTTAGTGATGATGCATTAGAAAGAAATCAAATTAAATCAATGGAAGAAAAAGAGTTCCTTTTTTTGTTCCTTTAAAAAAAAAAAGTGTTCCTTTTTTTATTATTTTTTATTTTTTGGCAAGTGCCAAAAGCAAGTAAAATATGTTGTTGGCAAGTAAATAGACCAACATTATTGGCCAGAGGGATGGTATCTAAAACAGTTTATCTGGCTAAAAGCTACGTCAGAATTTAAATGATTTTTGGGCAACTTTTTGAATTTTGGATCATGGCTCCACATTTCCTGACCATAAATGCACACTTGCACGAAAGAGCATGTTAATTTAAAGTCATACTATCTGAAATACATATACTACCATTCTGGACCGAAGTTAAGTGTCTCAGCAGTCATATTCTATATGTCCAGAGGGCTCAGGGTTTCTGTTAACCAAAGGAAAAATTAAATTAAAAATAAAGCAGAGGTTTTTGAGTCTCATTTATCATAATCAGAAACACACTAAAATGTGAGATTAAAATAATACAACAAGCATTTCTTGGTGATGGGGAAGTGCGTACCTTGTCCACAGAACAGGACTGTAAAGGACCAGTATGAACGAGGGACAGGAATGAGGTGGTTCTGTCAGGACCAGTATGGGGGTTCTGTGTGCTGAGGTGGACTTGGTAATTCTAAACTCTGTATGAATATTATAATAGCTGCCAGTTTTAGAGAGATAATGGCTGATGGATATCTAGCCAGATATAAGAGCTCCAAAAGATGGCACGCCACCCTAATGTGCCAGTAACTTCAGATCTTTAAAAAAAAAAGATTCAGCAATTTGAAAACACTTTAGAAAGATAGAGAAAAAACACACTATGATTAAGAATTTGTGGCAGCATAAATAACAGCAAACTGCTGTTTGTAAAAATACTTTCAGGGCAGTTTGTAATGCCGTAACTATTGCTGGGTAACTTCTATCAATTCTTGATCTCTTTTACTTATATTCAAAATTTTTGTGAATTATTGTTTCATAGCCAAGCATTCAACTCCCAACTCCCAACACCTGCAGAAAAAACAAAAACAAAAAACACTGATTGCTTTTTGTGCAAAACAAATGCATGCACATTACATGCATCCATAAGACAGAATACAGTCATATTTGAATGATCAAATTAACTTTTGGGTAGTTCACATTAGGATTGGGTACAGAATCCCGGTGCCAATATGGCACAGGTACCTATGTAACCGGTATGTACTAGAACCGAATCAGAACGCAGATTTCGGTGCCATTTAAATGCCTGAGCGATCGATTTAAATATTTGTCCTGGTTCTCCAAAATGGACGTAAGAAGCATGGGTGTCACTAGGCCATTTTTAGCGGGGCTATAGCGATTAGCTCCATAAACTGAACTCAAATTCGTGATTGCCTCAGAGTCAGTCCCCTTTAAATGTGACATATCATGAAAATCTTACTTTTCCAGGTTTTAAGTGCTATAATCAGGTCCCTGGTGCATCTACCAACCAAGGAAACGTGAAAAAGATGAACCCAATCACTTTGTTTTGGAAAGCCTTTTTTTGCAAGCGTCTGAGAAAACGAGCGCGTCTGATTTCGCTCCCTTGGTGACGTGGCAAAGGGATCTCATTATAATATTACCACCCCTTAATCTGTAAACTTTCACTCAAGGCACCGTCATTTTGATTTCTTTGAGCTAAAACTTCACAGACACATTCTGGGGACATCAGAGACTTATATTACATATTGCAATAAGGGGCATAATATGTCACCTTTAAATATCATATGAAAACGGCGGCAGACTTCGTCTCCTCCCCGTCTTTCAGCGTAGCTTTTCGCTACGTTCACCCCTCAACACACCACAGTTGTTTCCTCCAGCGAAAATCTAGCTCTTAACACATATGAACGCATACTTTATAAAACGTTCATGTTGCCATTTTCATTTGAAAATTTCATATTTATTAAAAAACATATTACAGTGCATGTGGCATACCATAGAGTCATTCACAACACTGATTAAAGACAGTGACAGACAGCACTCAGTCAATTCACTCATTTTAACTAAATATCAGCGTGATTGACAGAGATACAGTAGAAACATTATGTGTGGTTTTGTATTAAATAATGACCCAGATCGTGAAATACATTTATTAGCCTTCGAGTAAGGGAAGCACAACTCGGGAAAGGAGAGCATCCGAGGAGTAGGGTTGGGTATCGTTAGAAATTTTCCGGTTCCGATTCCAGTTATGCCTAACGATTCCGGTTCCATTTAAATTAACTATTATTATTTTTTTACTATTTTCCCTTAATTGAATGTAGTGTTGCTGGAAGGTAGTAAGTAATGTTGAGTAATGCATGTGCTTCCAAGTTGATGTTTTTTACACTATCAATAACATTTTGCTTTTCAACCATAACCATGTATACACACACTGCATAAAGCCCCTATTTTACAAACAATAATGCAGTCAAGAGATGGTGTGATGCAATGAGTGGTTTCTACATTTTTAAACATTTGAAATGCATGAAAATATTTTCTATCACTTTGTTTATCACTCTTGAAATGACACTAAATAAATAAATAATCTAACCCTCATACTTACATAACAATAGCAGTTTATTTATTTAGTGGTCCAAGTTGAAGTCAGTATGTATATTAATGACAATATGGGACAAATATAATGTAGTTTAGTGGTACATGTAGTCAGACAAAACAACGTGCACATTTATCAAAGATGCGAGTGTGCATAGTCGTGGAAAACGATGTGTTCGGCAGATAAAGACGCGGCGCGTCTGTGGAGTGCGAGTCATGGGAAACAATATGCTCAGTAATTAAAGAGGCAGGGCGGCGTTTCTGTTATTTGGTTTGTGACATCTTTACGGGAAACGCCGGCGCAAGGCTGCTAACAGCGCATGGTCACGTGTCGCACCAGAACCGAAACTTAGAAATTGCTCACGGTTCCGGTTCTTTTCAAAAAACAGAACCGGTTCTGAATAAGAACCGATCGGTTCCCAACCCTACCGAGGAGCATGTGAATGCTATGTATTAGGGTTGGGCCGATAGATGATGCCATCGTCGATGGCTGACAGACATCACAATGAATGTCTGATGTACTGTAATGCAACAGGCTACCGCTAGCAAGCGGCTAATCTTTTAGTGGCTCCATAGAACGTGTTATTTGTTTCACGCTTCGGACACTCTGCCTCATGTTAATGGAGAGGCTGGATAGAGTTTTTTTTTTACATTTAAAAATAGGGATGTAACGATTAACCAAGAGCCGGTTGAAAATCGATTCAAATGTGTGACGATTCAAATCGGTTGAGATCCTAAACAAATCGCGATTCATTTAGGTGTAGGAGTTTATATGAATGCATGTCTGAGGGGAACTTACTGTCTTTAGAAAAGTTTAGATGGTATTTTTTCTTTTCATCTTGCCTCTGTATAACGCATATTAAAGTTCATAAATTCAGCGCTGTTTTGTTTACATCGGAAACCAAGGAAATGCTTTAAGCGCCACCTGCTGGCAGAGAGTGAATCTGCGTCTCATTCAGCTCATCCGCTGTATAGTTTCACAAAACCATATTGTTTTTGCTTCAAATTTCGAAATTATACAATCTAATTTAGATTAAAAACTGCTCAAGTTGCATGTATGCAGCATCTTTGTTTGGATCATGATTAAAATGCAGTGTTAGCCTCTAATTTTAAATGGAAAGAGCACAGACAAAGCCTTATTTTGTTTATATGAAGAGATTTATTTTATTTGTGTAACTTATTTATTTGATTTGGGGCTTGTTTTCAAATTTCAATGTAGTGTTGTTATTTGCATTTACATTATATTAAAATTGTCGTTTAGCAGACGCTTTTGTACAAAGCGACTTACAAATGAGGACAAGAAGCAATCAAAACCAACAAAAGAGCAGTAATATGCAAGTGCTATATTAGTATATTATTATAGTGTTATATTTCAATTTCACAAAGAAATGTGCAGCATTTTGTCCAAGTAATAATAACAGGACACATTTAATGTATAATTTGTCTTAAATCTAATTTTGTTAAAAAATAATCGTGAATTATTTAACCTTTATAGGTTTACACTCTTGTAATTAATCAGTGTAACATCTCCTTCAGTGAAAGTATGTAACATACTTTTATTAGTTCTTGCTTTTTCTGGAAATCAAATCCTTGTCTTGGCATAGCTAGCAACATGCTCTGCCTTGAATTTTTTTTAGAAGCAGACCCTTCAAATATTATATGCACCAAAATAGTAGTTTTATTTGTATTGCATTTACGACACGCATACCTTTAAGAGAGGCAAATAAAATGAAACTCTGGTCATGGGACCATTTACACAAAACATGTACAGATGTGGATGAAATCAAGACATTCTGCACTCTCTTTATAATTGACCACTCTGTGAAAAAAACATCAGCAAATCCTTTTAGACACGTCACACTCGGTAATAGTTGCTGGTGGGATTAAATGGGCAAAGTAACATTTTGCAAAAGCCAAAAAGGGACTAAATAACAAAACGCATCCAAACCCCTTGTGTGAGAACTTTACAACCTACAATCATAACTCCACAAGCAACAGTTCAACTCAACGTGAGTAACACTCACTGCGCTGTTATGCAACACAAACAAGCAACACGCCTGAAACTGAGAGGCGTTTTCTAATGAAGATTAAGACATAATCTAATTATAAACAACGAAACAAGTCCAAGACGTTTTAAGGAGACCAAGAGCAAGAAACGCATCAGTAACGTCTCAAATCTACTCGCGCTGCAGGCCTTCAGGGCTCCACGAGCCTTTCAACCATCTGCTACAGTGCGATTAACTCCCACGACATATGTGTGCGATTACCACTCAAATGTGATTACCAACCAATGCACAAAGCAGCCTTCCCTTTAAAAAGCTGAAAATGATTTAGCACGCACCTCTTCTGCGAGCCTGCTGGCCAGCTAGGCTAAACTAGCCATCCACTGTTTTCTCCAGAGTTGGATCTTCTCTAAAGAACTCACTCTTTTTTGCACGTACGTGCTTCGCAGGAACCGATGGTTTGCACTACTGGTATGTCTCGGTTTTCAACACTCGCCTTGCGTGAGTTCGATGCTGAATTCTTTATATATTTTCCCCTGTATCTGCAACGGTCGCAATGAGTTTTTTTTTACTGTCTCGCTCGGTCGTGTTGTTTGTATTTTACAAAAATGGCTGTTGGACATGAACCACATGAGAAATTCATCCAATGAACCGCGAAGATCTTCTTCTTCTTTTTGTTTGACGCCGGCTCGAAAACTAAAATAGCGCATTACCGCCATCTACTGCTAGCATGCGCCAGAATCACTGTATCTCGAACCACAGTCAAACTCGAACGATATTCTTTGTTTTTGTTGTTAATAATAATAATAATAATTATTGTTGTATTTGTTATCATTAATAGGCTACTGTTATGTCTTTACTGTACTATTACACACACACACACACACACTTGTCTGGTTTGCTATCCTTGTGGGGACTCTCCATAGGCGTAATGGTTTTTCTACTGTATACAGACCGTATATTCTATAGCCCTACACCTAAACCTACCCCTCACAGGAAACTTTCTGCATTTTTAGATTTTCAAAAAACTTCATTCTGTATGATTTATAAGCTTTTGTACCCTTGAGGACCACAATTTAGGTCCCCACCGTGACACGAGTCCCCATGAGTCTGTGTGTAGTCAGGTTTAAGTCCCCACCAGAATAGAAAAACAGGTACACACATACACACACACACACAAATATAAATAAATATACACACACACACACACACAAGCAAAAACAATGGGGCTACAATAAAGAATGAATGAATGACTGAAAATTACAATTTATTTTGAAATAAGCAATGCAAATAATAAAAAAAATAATAATTTTCAATGTTTTTATTTTATATTGGACCTTTTGAAGTGATGATAATAAATGAAAATCTGAAGATTAAATTCTAACAGGTTTTTTTAATATTGAAGGTTTTTCTTTTCTTTCTTTTTTTGATGCTTTAAAACAAAAACATTAAAACAATATAAATATTTAGAGGAGCAAGTGAAAAGAAGAATAAGTAGTTTATATATTGAAGAACAGTATTTTGTTTGGTTTAAATGGAAGGCATCTTGATTTTTTTTATGTCTTTTTATATCCACTCAGTTGCAGGACCGTCAGGTGTGTCAGGTGAGCGGTGAGCAGTTATTTGACTATCACTGCAGTATGGAAAATTAGCACCCCGAGACACTTTCTTAGGAGTTATTCAAAGGAGATTTTGAAGGAGAGCTGTTTCATTTCAATCTAATGGATCACCGGACTGTTTTGCTGGTGTTTCTCTGCTTTCTGCTCGTCACTGTGCACTCAGAAGTGCAGAAAGATTTCTCACCCGAATGCCGTGAGTTTATGTATATGGGCACTCCCCCACGGGGTCTGGAGAACCGCTCACTTAAAAAGATATGCCAGCGTTATAACGGCAAGCCTCGGTATGTCACTCTGTATGATGCGGTGGGTCACATCCCGGTGTATTCTGCGTACACTTTCAAACGCTCCGACGGCTTCAAGAAGGTTGACGTTCCTTGGATGTTCGAGCCTCAGGTAACCAACCGTCGAGTTCTCGTTTTTGCTCATAATGAGTAAAGTATCAATAACTTTTGTAGACTTGATGCATAAAAACAAGTCACAGTTTAGATTGAGCAATTCATTTCAACTCAAACTGCTAAAAACTCAAATTAAATCAGCCTTAATTGGATTTATCTCGTCTCCCAGTTTGGTTGGTTAGCTGGTTTAAACCCTTAAAATGCTTTGGTCAAGACTGGGAAACCAGCTGCCAAATACTAAACCAGATGAACACCATCTGAGAGACCAGTTTAATTGACCATCTGAGGCTGGTTTAAGCTGTTTTTACCAGCAGGGTAAGCTGATTTGCTGGTCTTATAGCCAGTTTAAGAACATGAAAAGTGCAAAAAAACACCTTTACAACGAATAACATCAAAATATCTTTATATATTTTCCATATGGTGCATATTTTATTGAAAATAGGCTACCTTAAAATCTTGTTGTTTTTTACCTAAATATTCTGTACTCATTCAGCTCTCCACAGCATCAGACTCTGGTGAGATGCAGCCATTTCCTCCCAGTGATGTCCACGACAGTTTTTCAGACGCCCAGGCCGTCTTGGAAGACTACTCAAACATTGTTGATTTCGAACGAGGTCATTTGAACCCCGACGAGCACCAGGCTCACCCCGATGACAAGGCAGCCACGTACACCCTTACCAATGTGGTCCCACAGATCCGCGAGTTCAACGTGGGCCACTGGAAACAACACGAGCACATCATCCGGCGTCGCCTCAACAACTACTGCCGCGGCAAGGCGTACATAGTCACGGGGGTCACCACATCTGGTAGGATGATCCGTAGATACAACATCGATCGAGTGGCCGTTCCTACCTACCTGTGGACGGCCTACTGCTGCATCAATTACGATCACAATGCCCCCTTTGATGAGCGATCCAAATTCCCGGCCTTTGCAGCCTATGGGCTTAACGAGAAAGAAGGAGCGGAGGTCATAGAGATGTCTATGCAGCAACTGGAATATTTTTTGAAGAAGAACACCTTTGTGGACAAGAGGTTTCAGATTTTCTTTGGGAACTGTGAGCCTAATGATGCCATAATGGCAGTCCAGACTTAGGTGTCTTCATCTTGCTTCTCTTAACCTGTTGATACCTAAATTCATAAACACATTTTAAAACATCATTCAACTGTCAGAATTGTGTTCTGTAGAATGAATATTCTGCCATATGCTCTTAAATAAAAGGTTCCAATTAGATTTTACAACTTAATGAGACAGAAAAATACTTTTCTAGATTCCACTGAAAACATTCTTTAGTTCTTTAGAAATCTATTTTGTACACTACTGCTCAAAAGTTTGGTGTCAGTAAGATTTTTGATAGAAGATCTTATTGTTTACCAAGGATGCATTTATTTGATGAAAGATACAGTAAAATTGTGAAATATTATTACAATTTTAAATAACTGTTTTCTATTTTAATATATTTGAAAAGTGACCCCCCCCCCTGTGAGGGCAAAGCTGAATTTTCATCAGCTGTCTGAAGTGTCACATAATCCTTTAAAAAACATTCTAATATGTTTTTTTTTTTAAACCATTATCCATTTTTTAGGATTCAAAGGAAAAGCATTATGGAAATCTTTTCTTTTGTAACATTATAAATGACATTTCTGTCACTTTTGATCAATTTAATGCACCCTTGCTGAATAAATTTTTTTTTATTCTAAATACATACATATACATACATAAAGGACCCCTTTGATTTGTAGTGTATGTGCTTTAAAGAAACTGTAGTTTGAACAACTACAAAGAACCACTGCATAACATTCATTTTTAAGGGTGTACTGAATACGATTTTGAGCATTAGACCCTGAAGAATATTCCCTAAAATGCATTTTTATGATTGCGGGCAAAAACTAAAATAATTGGATATAACAATGTTAACTTAATTGGATATAACACTGTTATCGCTCTCTCTCGCTCTGTTTTTATTTGTTTGTTTCATTTGAAGGGTGAAAATCTGTATTCATTTTCTTTAGCCTTGACTGGTAGAATGAAGATCCAATTTCAGTTTCAGAAATATTTGATATCTTCTAATCAAGAATATTTGTCCACAAGAGGACTGAAAAGAGTGATGAAATGAGAGAGATTTAATGACTAATCATCTGGGGCCTTGGGTTTTTTTTATTAGGTCCATTAACTTCTTTGTAAGACTGCAACAGCTAAATCTTTTCTCACGTTGTGAGCATGTTCACTGCAATTTATCTGAATATTGTAACTCTTCTAAAATAAAAATTGGCCACTTAATCTTCTCTGTTTGCCTACATTCTCTCAATTATCAATATAAAAACATGAAGACTCAATAACATAAGCTCTAGGTGTTCTGGATAAATATTTTCAAAATAATATACAGTAATAAATAGAGCTAGTATCAAACTCCTATTGCTTGATCAATTTAATATGTACACTGTCTACTGATTCTTTTCAAAGGAAAAAGTTGCTTTTGTGTGTGCATGCAAGATTAACAATGGTATGAATATGAGATGGCTCATGTAATATCAGATAACCAAATAAAAGTGGCATAAAGAGGTGAACGAAGTCCCGTCCCTTCCTAATCCCTTGTCCACACAGGACACAGACTCCATACAGACAGGCTTATCTCTGTATTCCTTTTTCTTTCATCACCTCTTCACACTCTATTGAGGACTGTTTGTTCTCTTGCGATGTGGAGTATAGAATAGCCTGATTTACATTTTATAAGACAGCCATACAAGTTAACCATAAAGATGATTAGCTCTACAGAAAATAGGACCTGCATATATGGAGAAAGAGAGAGAGAATCATTTGTTCTGGGAATATGTGATAAGGTTTCTGAACAGCATTTTCCTGAACCATCATGTCTCTCCCCTTGTGTCTTGTTTACTCCTTACAAAGAAAGCTGCTGGTTAAAAGGAGAGGATAACTATTACTTGTGTGATTTACTCTGGAGTAAACAAGACACACACACTTATATACACACAGCTATATACACTCAAGTCTTGTTGGATGTTCTAACAAGGGAGGCAGAAACCATAGTGGCACCCCTGGTCCTAGATACCCAGGGCTCATTAGGCGCTTTCGCACCGGAGGAACCTATTCATAGCTCCTAGAACTATTGGCAGAAGTTCCCGCTTTTTGGCGTGTTCGCACCGCACGAACTAGGAACGTATTTAGTTCTAGGAACTCCATTTGGGGAAATTAATTTAGCTCCTACTTCAGAGTGGAGTCTAAAACACTTCTATAGGAACTATTAGTGACGTAAGTGTACACTGATTGGCCAAACGCATACGAAACACCAGCTACCCTGCATTTTTAAAAAGCCATGTAAAGATATTTACTCCACGAACACAGAAAACAGTGATAATGGCATTTACCTGTTGTCTGCAGCGTTGTGTTCTTTTCTCAGCCTCGATGATAACACTATAAGTTGTCATAGGAGATTTAGTCAGATTTTCATGCTCTTTCAATCGCGTAAATAGCAAATGCGTTTACATAACATCTCCGTTATCATGAAACCCACAACACAACAAAAACAGCTCCGAACAAGGTGTCCTCTATTCACCGGTTGTTAACGTTTGTAAATGCCACGAATAAAGATGTCACTGTCGGCCGCTTCAGAGATCCTGCGAATGCAACCAGGAAAACTGCTTGAGGGAGACATAGAACTACGCGGTGTGAAAGCACCTATTGATGCACTTTGGGAGCGAAGGCAAGCCCATCTGGTCTAATTACATAGGAGAGCTAATGTAGCTTAAATTGCTGAAAAAATGTATGATCGTCATGATAGAAAGGTGTAGAACACACAGTGCATCATTGTTTGCCATGTATCAGGTTATATAGACTACTCAAAGTGCCCATGATGACCCGTCTACAACTAAAAACGGCAATGGCTAGTGAGAGTCAAAACTGAACCATGGAGCAATAGAAGATGTTTGCTTGGTCTGATGAATTACGTTTTCTTTTAGATCTGATGGATGGCCGGGTACATGTGCATCATTTACCTGGGGAAGAGATGGCAGGAAATGCCCTATGGGAAGATGGCAGGCTGGCGGAGGCAGAGTTATGCTCTGGTCAACGTTCTGCTGGGAAACCTTGGGTCCTGGAATCATGTGCTGGCATTACTTTGACACATACCACCTCCCTAAAGATTGTTGCAGAGGCAGACCACCCTTCATGGCAATGTTGTTCCCTGATGAGAGTGGCATCTTGAAGCAGGATAATATACCTTGCCACACTACAAATTTGTTTAGGAATGGTTTAAGAAACATGACAGAAAGTTCAATGTGTTGACTTGGCCTCCAATTTCCCCATATCTCAACTCGACTGAGCATCTCAGGGATGTGCTGGACCAACAAATCCAATCCATGGAGCCCCCACCTTGCAGCTTGCAGGACTATAATGCTAGTGTGCTCTTGCTTCTTACAAAACCAAGTCAGCATGGCCCACCCCCAAGTCTCCATAGCCACGTTTCCACTGTCGGGCCAAAAGCGGGCGTGCTAGTGCGTGCCAGGGCTATTCGTGTTTCCACTGTCATTTGACGAGGCGCTTGATCGTGCCTCGTCGGTGCTTCCTCGAGGCCAACAGCCTAAGTTCTTTTGGCCCGACGAAAACATTGGGCCAAAGCAGGCCAACTGGGGCTAGAGTAGTGGCTATGAACAAAGGTGGAGTTTCTCCGCATCTGGAGAGCATCAGTGCTGCGGATCATTTCAGAAAGTTAAAGGTCCCCTGAAATGCTTAGAAACACTCAGTGTTACTCTATGTGTTGACGTCATTTTAACTGAAACAGGAAGACAGGGCGGGACATATCAAGCAGCCCGCCCCTTTTTAAATAGCCAATAGCGTTCGTTTATATCACAGCTTGGGCTAGAGCCGTTCAGAGCCGTTGAGCTCCGTAAAGCCACATTTGACAGGGTATGCCAGCAACAATCTCATCCATATTGCTATAAAATATAGCATTCTGTGTATTCAATTCAAATACCTCCGATACATTTTGTGGTCTGCGCCGAATCGCGCATGTGATCCGCTCCGTGCTATCGTGTCTCTGGACCGGAGCAGAGTGTGTGTGTGCGGTGCGGTGGTTAGCTGACACAGCGCAAAACCAGACTTCTTTTTTTCCTCAATGGAAAGCATATTTACACAGTTTGAATCGTTTCCTGTCCCCTATATAGTGAACTACGTGCCATTCACTGTACAGAAAATACTAATTCTGTGGATAAGTGACCGATTTCAGCCACGGCTTCAGTGTCTATTTTATAGTGTAGGGGGCGGGCGCTTCGGATTCTAGAGCATTTGATTGGACAGAAAGTTTGATGAGAAGCTGAAGTACGATGTGACGTCAAAAAAAAAAATCGTTGAGCCGTTTTGGCGGAAGTAGCGAACTGCAAGCTTTGAATGCTTATATCTTCTAAATGCAAATTTTGTCACCGTTTTGGAGCACACTGCCTTATAGATAACCGTAAGACTAACATATTGATACTAACACCCCAAAAAAATTAATTTTGATTTCATGGGGACTTTAACAAATAACACCAGCATCAAAGACTTTTAAAACAAGTTGAGCTCAAAACTCACTTTCAGACAGCAGCGAGTGTATGAAATTTCTGCCTGAGATCCAGTGTGGATTATGATCACCATACAAGGCAGAAATAGGTATTTATAAGCGATGCAAAAGAGCATGCTAGCCATTAACGTTACCATAGTAAACATGGTAAATACAACTGCTTGAAGAAATCAGACGTCAGCTTCTCATTTTCTATCACAATCGTGTATTTATTTAGTAACATATTTATATATAATAATGTTTTTTGTTTGGGAGCTCCCTCTGCTACTCCGGTGGAAAAAATATAGAAATTATCATTCTTTCTAAATTTGATGTATACTGTGGCTACAAATAAACAGAAACAGACTCGACTGAATAAGTATGTGTCCTCTTTCTTTTGTGAAATAACGGTTCATACCAATTTATTTCTGAGACTAATTTTCAATCCTGATAAATTAAATAATTATGATCAATGTATCACTTATTATTGTAAAACATTGATGCTTTTGGATTTAAATCTTTAACAAAACATGCAAACAAACGG